AAATTTTATTCAAAGCATTTTAGTATGTCATACAAGGTATAGTGCTTTGGGTTATCAGCTATCTGCTTCTTTTATGCATCATGGCGGAAATTTAACCCAATAACGTTGCTTGTCACAAGTTTTCTATAGATACCATGACATAGTTGTGTAATAATTCTTGTGTGATTGATATTACCCATATAAGCTATCAACTGAAGATTCTCATTTAGGTTTATTTAATTTTAGCGAGTAGAGAATAGGCTAGAACTGAAGGGTTTGGGATTTGAATCTTGTGTCTTTGTTGATCTTCTTCTCAGGTTGCTTAGCTCAATAGAAAGGTGTGGTGATGCGATAAATTTTAGTTTGGCCTGCTTGCAATTTGGTTCCTTGGATTTTGAAATTTTCCCTATAAGTGTGGTTTTATTCCAAATGCTTAATTCCCATTGAAATTGAAATATAAGATAAAACTTATGATATTAAGAAAACTGCACTGGCTGGTTTGACTGGTTTTGGAAACTAGTCACTTGATTGGTCTAAACTCGAAAGATGTGAGGAAATCGGTGGGCAACAGATCCGGGACTTGGCTTCGCTTCGCTTACACTTCCCGCCTCCACTTATAATGGAAGGTTTATATTTAATATTTAATATTTTTATTTTATATTTATTAAAATAAGAAAATTGATAAATTTGATCACCAGCTTCAGCAGTTCAAGTTTAATATAAATGCCTTAAGTTTAATGTTAATGTTTTTTATAAATTAATTATTCAGATATACTTTAAACAGTATAATTTAATATTAATTTTTATATAAATTTTTAATATTAAATTCAAACCATTTATACTAAATTTAAATTGTTTTCATATTAAATTTAAACTGTTCTGATTAGTGATTAGATTTTATTAAAAATTTATAGATTTTTTATTTTAATAAATATAAAATTAAAATATTAAATCTCAACTTTTCACATAAAATCTAAATAATCCAGATTTTTCCCCCAAAATGCCGCAGAGCACTGAGCAAATCCAAGGCAAGAAGATCCGCAAATTGATCTCAAACTAATAAAAGTGGTTATTCAATTTTTTTTTACCAAATAAAATTGGTTATTCAACTGATTGAACTGATCACTTTTTTTTTTTTCCAATTTTTTAAATTTAAATTTAAATTTATGTTCTAAACTATGATATTTGCGCGCGCGCACATAGGAGTAAAAAAAAAAAAAAAGCATAAATGGGTATGAATTGTGTGTGCAAGTATGTTTTCATTCTAAAATTATAAATTATAAGATATAAAATAAGTAGGTTTATTCAAGATTTTTTTTTTAAAACCTTGAGATACATTTTAGATGTAAACTAATTATGGTTAAAAACTTCAACCAAGAAAACTTGATTCACTTGAACTTGAAATGCAACAAAACCCACGTGGCAAAAATGTTATGTATGGCAAGCAATGTTACAAAACACAGACTCACTTGAAATCCTAGCTTTGCCCACTTGAAAATACACGTCAAGGTAGACTGTTATAAGATTCAAATTAAATTCTTCATTTGTATGATTGAGAAATCTTAACATGCCACTCTGAAAGTGGTGTGCTTATGTGCGCGGACGGGTGTGCCAGTGTGTAGATATACATGGAACAAACTCAAGACTATGTTTGTGTATGGAAATTTTATTTTCTTAGAAGGATATTATTAGAAACAAGTCATTATTATATCTACAAATTTGAAACTAGACAAGCATTTAGGGATAAAATAGAAATAAAAAACAAATCAAAACAAGTAAATAAGCAATAGAGACGGAAGAAAGTGTAAAACACCAAAATTTTTTTTTAAATAATTTAATTCAACCATAGTTGAGTTACAGCCACCCAACACATTTTTATATCAATAATTTCGATATAAAATATTTTATAATTGGCTTCAACTCACACACTATAACATTTCAGATAAATTTTTACCTCCCACATGCCATTAGGCTAAATCACATTTGTCCATCCTTATACTCCCAACAAGTAAACTAAATCACATTTGTCCATCCTTATACTCCCAACAAGTAAAATAAGCAATTTAGTCAATTTTCAACACAAGCTAGTTATTTGGCCTTATAATCATGCCATTTTAACCAATCCAAAGTAAACCAAATATTAAAATTACAGTCATCCAAATTGTACCAAAAATAGAAATAGTTTGAAAGGCATGCTTACATTTATATATTCATATAATTGACAATAAACATAAAAAAGTCCTAATATTGACAATATAACACATTATAAATTATAAATTAAATACCTAAAAGAGACAGTGGATCTATACCACTAAGCCTCTGGGACTCCTCCACGTGTCACTCGTGGCTCTTCTCCTGAAAATTTTTTAACCACATAATGAGACTCAAAATTCCCAGTAACCAAAGCCAATTTATGATAGTGTATACAAACAGTTAAGTGTGTGCTTACTAAGTGAGAATTAAAAATAATATAATTCCAACAAATATATGAAATATTACAATACACACAAACAACCATCCTTATATCCCTCCATTAACCTCGAGCCGTAGCCCTCACTCGGTGCTAAATTACCCGGCCAAAGGTAGATTAGCCCGAGCCCTTACAAACCACCTATTGAGCTCCAATAGGGGCATACCATGTGGCACATAAATACAACAACAATAGCAAGTCTCCCAACACCTCCCACAATAATCAAATAAATTTATAATAATATTGCACAATTATATAATATTACAAAATTTATAATTTTCTCAATAATCACCCAATTAACATGAAGTAACACTAATCATAAATTAAAAGCATGGTTACCTTGTGGCTTTTTCAATAAATTATTCCTTAAAATTTCTCTCTCACCACAATCTTCACCAGTAATACAATCTACAAATAACATATTATTTATAAATATTAGTTTCAATTTTTGAAACTAATAAAATAATTCTAATAATAGAATTAAAAATATAACATAATTCCTAATCTCAATCTTAATACAAATCTATAGTTAATACTATTAAGTATAATTTTTAACTCCTCTTTTAATTATCAATAAACATTAATAATCTAAAAATCAACTTCTAAACTAATTTTTATTATCAAAATTTTTCTTTTTATTTCATAAATTCGTACCTAAAATACCCAAAAAATTAAAAATTAAATCTCTAGCTTAGAATCATAATCCTATAGCCATAATAATTCATTTCTCATCCTAAATAATCATCTAAACCTCAATAAATCAACATATATTTTCAGATCTAGTCTAGAATTTGATCCATAAGCCATAAATTCAAAGATCATTAACAAATTTATACTCTATAACATTTATTATACTACTGACAACCTCAAAAACCATATTTATTCAACATAAATTCATCCCTCTTCCAGATCTTAAATTTTCTACCACTACAAACTCAGAAACTAAAGAAGAAGGATGACTAAGAAAAATTTTTAGAACACTTACTTAGTCTTAAAAAGCTTAAAATCATACCCTAAATATCCTATTAAAAACTCTTACCTTAAAAATTTAGATATTTCGCACCGGTGACTCGCGTTCTCTCCGCCTCAGCTCGCGCGCAGGAATGAATGAGGAAATGAAGAAGGTGAGTTTTTATAAAAATTCAGTGGGTCCCACATTTTTTTTAATTATTTTCTCTCTCTTCTTCTTCTTTTTTTTTATTATTATTTTATTATTATTACTGTTGAGGCGGCGGACGAAGCAAATTCGTTTTCTTCTTCTTCCTTTCTTTCTTGTTTTTACACCTTTTTTTTATTATTATAATAATAATTTAATAATATTATTTTATTATTATTATTTTTTATTTTTTTTTAAAATTATTTTTTTTTAAATTTTCTATTAACCCAAATTAACTATTAAAATTTATATTGGGATGTTACAGAAAGCATGTCACTGTTCCAATTAATTAATCTCAAAAAGGCTTCCATCTCTGGATTTCTATGATATAGATTAGTACTTCTAAGCTGTTCAAATCTACTCTGAATTGTCTAGATTTATAATTTTTTTCTTTTATTATTTTTTAAAATAAAAATACTCTCTTAACTATCAGTTTTTCAAAAAACAATTTTTTATTTAAAAAACACCCATTAAAAAATTATAAATTTAGATTATAAAAATTAGATGTAAACAATTTGAAGTGATGAACTTTTGATGAGTAAAATGAGCATTGAAATTGGTTCAGGACTTCTACACAGCTTTTGTGATTTTAGAAGTATCAAATCACTTGGTATATGAAAATTACATTTGAGTTCAGCTAAATCACATACTCCTTCCATTCAAAAAATATAAATATTTTTAATCAAATCTCACTCTCAATAAATTAGGTACTTATTTTTAAATTAATTTTATCTTTTCATATTTACCCCTATAAACACTTTAAAATAAATATAAAATAATTTATTTAATAAAGACACTTAAAAAAAATATTAATTACTCTTCAAAAGATTAAGAATATTTTATATTTTGAATATTCAATCTCTCAAAAAATACATCCTATTTTTAAGTGTAGGGAGCATGTATCTAAAACTTGAACCTTTTAGTTGAGTTAATCACCATAGGCATACAAGTTTTGCACTTGCAACTGAATGAGCTAGCGGTGCCTTGAAATAATCAACACATCTCTATCATGGTTGCATTCAACGACAAATCATAAAGGTAAATCAGTGTAAATTACATATGCTTCCTTGGTCTAAATCAGATAGGGACGGATAGCCTTTGAGAACGTTTCTTTTTCACCTACGGAAGCGCTGGCCCATGTCAAGATTGAGTGGGATAGATACAGACAGACATATTATGTATGTAATTTGTTCATCAATGTCAATCAATATATATATATATATATATATATCAAAATTGGGGGATCAGCTCATGTAGGAAAACTTGAGTGGGATACACAACACAAGTCAAGTTGAAAATTCAAATCTTCTTGATATATGAAAAATTGTCCATTGCTATCACTAGATAATAACAAGTTCCAATTTAAATTTGATATTATCTTCCTCACTAGCTAGCCTACGCATACAGATTAAGAATCGTACGTGCAACATCTTCATCTTTATCTTCATTCATATTCCACCATGGAGCTCTGCAGATAACACAACTAGGCGATGATGAAGAATTAATACTTCCATTATTATTGCTTGATCTAGTCCATTGCTCCAAGCACTCTTCATGAATCGGATTTCTGCAAGTCCCACAAGCCACAACAAACTTGTCTTCTTTCTTCATCTCCTCCAAACAAATCGGACACGAAGTTCCATCCTCAACCTTTACATTATTATTGGAACGACGTCGTTCCTGATGACGTTTCAGCTTCAGTGCTGCTAACAGCTCGTAAAACCTCAGGCGGAGTTCCGCGGCCGCCTCGGTCCCCGGCATCGTGGGAAGGTCCACGAGACAGCGAACGCGGGAGGGGAGGAGAGTGCCGATGTGGAGGCCGACGTCGGCGAGGGAGACGCCGAGAACTCCGAAGATGACGAAGAGGATGTGATTGCATGGCGTGTAGAGGTCAGGGCAGGTGCAGCCGGAGACGGTTGAGAGGACGACGGTGTATACGTTTCCGGTGGGTGGTTCGAGGACGAAGAAGGTGGCGTCGGAGCGGTGGAGGAGCCGGAGGTTGTGGGAGTGGCGGAGGGAATGTTGTCGTTGGCGGAGAACGTCGGAGACTGATAGGGAGAATTTGAAGTTACGACGGCGACGGATTAAAGGATTGTGATAAATTGACTCCATGAATCACTATTCTGGTTCTTCTTCTTCAGTGTTCCTCCTCTTTTTTAGAGTGATGACGAGAAGATTTATGTCTGTTTCTCTACGTTCTTTGCCGCTGGGACGAGAAACTGGTGATATTTTATACTGTTGTAAATCATTTTTTATGCAATTTTTACAGGATATAAATTAAATTTAAATTTAAATTTATTTAAATTGAATTTCAGAATATGTGGATTTCATTGATTTTATTTTTTCAAACAAATTATATTATATAAAATACTAAAATAAGTGAAAATGTTAAAAAAATTTACATAAATTCATCAATATCAATTTCAAAAGATTTACATTCTACATCATAAAATTTAATTTAACTTATCTGTATATTTTGAATTAATTTATGAATTTTGATAAATAATGTATTAATTTAAACTTTTGAAATAACATAAAAATTAATTATAATTTGGGACTTAAATTCTTTAAAATTGAAATTCATTAATTTTTATAAAGTTTTTTTGTTATTTGTATTTATTTTATTATTTTTTATAAAATATAAAATATTGTATCTTTTCTTAAAAAAGGTGCACTTCGTAAAATTTATGGATCCGCAATTTTAGAAAATCCATTCCCTAATTTGATATAGATATATCCTGTCCTGCCATCCAACCCTCGGATACTCTGTCAGGTTAGTTTGTGTTTGGCTTCAACATAAAATATTTAAAAAAAATCTAAAAAAAGATTATACTTCTTAAAAATATAGCTACCATATATTAAAATAAAAAATAAAAATAAAAATAATAAAGTTTCTCTAAAAAAATATAAATAACAATTTCATCCCTTAAAACAATTCCACTAAAGTTTTTGAGGATCTTTTGTCAATAAATTTTAAATTGAAAAGATTATTTTACAATTTTTAACAAGTTGTGATTTCTTATTCAATTTTATAAAAAATTTGTAATTCTTTAAACAAAAGTTATGAATGGAGTTTGTTATTTTGAAAACTTGCTTTTCAATAATAAAAATTACACTTGACAAATTCTGATTTTTTGTTTAACTCTTGTAATTTACAAAACAAAAGTTGTTATTCTTTAAACAAAAGTTGTGATTGGGGCTTATTTTTTAATAATAGAAAGAAAAAATTAATCTTTAAGTCCTCCAACTTTTAATCCACTTGTAACTTAGTCCCTCAAATATGACTCGTTGTAACTAAATCCCTCAACTATGACTCGCCTATGACTCAGTCCCTCAACTTTTGAATCAATTACAAATTAGTCTCTGCACTTTTATTAATTTTTTTCATATTAGCTTATATTTCACATCAATAAACAAGAGGAGGGTATTTTAAAATAATATATGAGCATTTTTTATCCCTCTTATTTGATAAGAAATTTTTTTAAAAAAATTAAAAAATAAGGACCAAATTATAGGTGAATCAAAAGTTGAGGGACTGAATCGTAGCGAATTATAGTTAAGGAACTGAGTTACAAGTGAGTTAAAAGTTGAAAAATTAAAAGATTATTTTTCCCTAATAGAAACTATGCTTGACAGGTGGTGATTTCTTATTCAAATTTTATAATTTATAAAACAAAAGTTATTATTTCTTAAATACAAATTGTGATTTGAATTTGGGACTTATTATTTTCATTAAAGGTGAAATGATCTTTTCACTTTAAAATTTATTAATACAAAGGTTTCTTAAAATTATGACATTTCAAGAAATGATATTGCAATTTATATAATTTAAAGGGATTTTATTATCATTTTTCCTATAAAATATGGGTGATATAAAAAAAATAGAAAATATAGATACATATCCTATCAAAGAAAATATAGATACATATTTCCAACATACTTACTATAAGCTAGCATTTATATTAGTAGATTTCAATTTTAATTCACATTTAAAATCTTTTATCTGAGTAGTTTAAAATTTTTCAAATAAACCAAATCATTTGGAAGAAAATAACCTTTTGAATTCTGTTCAAATCTTCAGAAATATTATTGTCATGGCTACCCAATGTGAGCATGCCTTGGGCAACAAAGAAGAAATCAATTGAAAAGGAGAGATGGACTGAAATTAAACAAAAAACAAAAAATTAGAATTAATGGGTTTATCAATGGTAGGAGATATGAATGAGAAATAAGGGGGAAAAAAAAAAGCAAGAATCACACATGTGAGCCTTCAATAGCTAAAAACACAAAGGGAACAAGAGGTTTGATTGAAATTTGAAATTATAAAAAAAAATTAGAAATGAATTTGGATTGAATCAAATCCACATTCAAAAATTTTGTGTATCCAAATGAGATGAATTTAATCTAAATTCAAATACCCATTAATCCAAGCAAACCAAAAATCAAATCAAAATTAGTGAATTTTAAAGTTTTAATAATATTAATAATAAAAGGTTGTTATAAAATAAAGGGGAAACAATTTATATATTTAAGTTTATGTACTTAATATGATTGTTTTTAATTAAATCAAGTCATGTGAAACTTTTATATATTATTCATTCTATAATAAATTTTTATTATTAATTTAATTGAAAAATTAAGATCAACTTATCATGATTTGATTATATATATATATATATAAGATTAAGTACACAAGCTTTATCCAAATAAAAATACACATATCTTGATTTAATTAAAAAAAGTACAATATATTGCTAAGTACATAAATTTTTTACCCTTAAAAAATAACATTAGAATCAAAATCAATCATTTCTTAAATTATACACCAAACTATTGTATACTATTTTTATATTATATAAAATTAAAAAACAGTTCAACGTTTTCAATAAATTTAAAATTTGAAATAATAAAACAACTAAAATAATTATAAAATCAATTTTAATTTTAATTTTTATTACTTTTATAAATTAATTATTCATATATATATTTTGAATAGTATAATTTAATATTAAAATATTTGTCAATTTAACTTGTGGCTCGTTGTGAAATTTCTTGCCTTTATTTGTGAGGTCAAAAGCTTGAATGGATAGGCATGCATATAGATTCTTATAAAAATCATAACCAAGGACCATTGAATAATTTTGATATGCAAGACCGAGAGATTAAAATATTTTATAATTTATTGCGAGAAGATAAAACTATCTTCCACACACACACAAATGTAAATGACACACGCCTACACACATTGTTATTAAAATATAAATGACACACATACATTATTATTAAAATAAAAATAAGACTTATCATAACTCCTTTTCTTTTAAAATGTAAATCACACACACACACATTATTATTAAAATGTAAATGAGACTTGTCATAACTCTTTTTTTTTAAAATGGAAATGAGATATGTTTTTTTTCTTAAATGAGAATTTATTAATGAAGAAATTTATTATTATTAAAATGAAAATGAGGCTTGTGTGTTCTTGAATGAGAAATTATTTTTCAAATCATAATACTTATTTCTCTCTATCATCAAGTTAATTTTCTAAAATTATTAATAAAAAGATTGATTATTGTCAAAATAAAATTGATGCTTGTTTTTTCTGGAATGATCGTGTTAAAAGAACACACACACCTGAGGGTGGTTTTATCTTTTTACATCGAAGTCCAATTATATTTAGTTTCTTTGATCTTGCAAAACAATATTATAATTATTTGATCTTGCGGATCAATAAATGCTGCTTAGAGATATTTGATTGTGATTTTTCCCTAGATTTTATCCATTAATATTTAATTTTTTATAACTTTTATAAATTGATGACCAGATTTATTAATTTTTTTCTTAATTTTTATAAATCAAAATAAAAAAAATTAAATCTCAACCATCCTAATTAAATCAAGATAAGTGAATACGCAGGTGAAATTATTTAGTTCCCATATAATATATTATTTCTCCTGCCAACAAACGGTCTTGAGTCTTGAGATTGAGTGTGACTGTGATCAACTGTGCAGCAAATCAAAATCTAAGAACAACAAGTCTCTGTGTTAAAAACAGGATGAATCTCCAACCAGTGAACTGAATGTTGAACCAATATCTTTGATAAGTTTAATGATCATTTTCAATACCTTGTTGTTCCAAAGCTAAAATTTAGAGCAACATGAAAGCAACATAAACAAGATCAAAATACTTTAGACCATCCAATCCAATATTATCACAGACCCAGACCCAAATCATGTGAAGGTTCATTACAAAATTACAAAACCAAGAAGATGAAAAACCTGCACAAAATAGTCCAAAAGTTCTGTCATTTTCAAACAGGAAACTAAAAAGATTTCTCTTAGCCCCAACCCCAACCCCAACTCGTAATTACCAAAAAGTATTCAAGTCAGGTCAGATCATCTAAATCAAACAAGTTTAAATGTTGATGATGATTTCTCTGAAGAGTATAAGCAGACAGATTCAGATACCTATGCTGATCATAATCTTCATTATTATTCCATGGAGCTCTACAAATCACACAACGAATCACTCTATTATTCACTTTGCTTCCTTTCCACCTCAGAAAGCACTGTTTATGAATCGCATTCTGGCAAGTCCCACAAGCCACAAGCTTCTGAATCTGATCTTCCTTCTTCATCTCACCTAAACAGATCAGACACGAAGTCCCATTCTCAACCTCAACGACGACGTTATCGGAACATCTTTGCCGGTTTCGACTGAAGAACAACTGGTGAAACCTCTGGCGGAGTGCGGCGTCGGCGAGGGCGTCCGGCGAGGTAGGCAGCTGCAGAAGGCAGTGGAGCTTAGGAAGGAAGAGAGAGCTCTGGAGGACGCGGACGTTGTCCAAAGAGACGCGGAGGACTCGAATGAGGACGAAGAGAATGTGCTTGTAAGGGGTTACAGGGTTAGGGCATGAACAGGAAGGGAAGATGGAAAGAGTGACGGTGTAGACATTTCCGGTGACGCCGAGGAGGAAGAAGGTGGAGTGGGAAAGGTAGAGGAGCTGGAGGTCTTGCCGGAGTGCTCGGTTAACGGGCCGGCGAGGGAGAGGTTAGGAGTAATAGGTCGGCGTCGCCATGGAACCTGCTTGAATGTCACCGTCAGGGAGCGGGGGAGCAAGGTGACAGGTGAGAGAGTCGAGGAGAGCCTACTTCTTCTTTAAGTAGCCTTTGAAGAAAATGGGAAAGAATCATTGCATGCCCAGAATATTTGTTTTTTATAATTTTATTTTATTATATCTATTTTATCTTTTGATTATTATTAAATATTGAGAAAATTATTAAATATTAAAAATATATTTTTTTAACCAACAAAATATTTTTTTTGTTATACAAAAAAATTAGATAGATAAATGTGGTCAGCTCGCTGATGCCAATGAATTCCTCTAGATTTCAACGTTTACAAAACTATAGGCAAATCCTTATAAATTAGATTACTTTTTATAGATAAATATTAAAGTATTATATTTTAAAAATATTTATATTTAACAGGAGTAAAATTAAAAATTTATTCAATTTTTAGATAATAAAATTTAATTTTTTTTGTTTTGATAAAAATGCTAAAGGGAATTTATTATAAAAGATCAAACTCATTGAAGTGAGTATTAGGACTGTTTGGAAGATTTTAGATTGGCTTAGCTTGGCTCTGGGTGAAAACGAATTTGAAACTATCTTTTTCAATCACAAAAACGAATTTTTTTTAGGACCATTCCCTCCTATTCCTGTTAAAAAAGATTAGAGAATTTCTAGGAAGAATTTCAGCATCAAAGTAATTATTTATTTACAAATTAGATTCAAAAAAATTATAAAATTATACTATAAGATCGTCGGAGTGAAGAGAAATGAAATGATAAAGCAAAATAATCAAAATGTCCTTTTTAATGATTCAGTGAAATTATTAACTTTACTTATAAAATTGCTAATATTATACATTAATTCCCTTTTATTGCTTATTAAATATATAATATTACTGGTATATTATGTAACTATATTAATTACATCTGACTTGTTAAATTATTAAATTCCCTTGTAAAATCAATAACATTATTTATTAAATTTCTTGTGTTACTTGTTAAGTCAATAACATATGTTAAATTCATTGACTTATTAAATTATTAACTTTACTCATAAAATCATTGGTATTACTTGCTAATCTTCTCGTGTTACTTGCAAGGTCGATGACATTATTTGTTTTTAAACAGTAGGACAATTTGATCATTTTATATTAAAAGTTTATTTATATGAGGTCCTTCAATATGTAAACATGCTCAAGAAACTCATCTATCCTTCATAAAAAGACATGATATATTGCATAATGCTGAAAATTCAGGGGCTATAGTTGTGTGCGTTCAAGAATCAAGATCCCATGCATAACTCTCAAAGTAAGAGCACAACACCTTGGAGCTCCCATAACTAAGGTTAAGCAAAATCAAATTGAAATAAAAAATCAAATTGAATTGAATTAAGTTTTCTCTATTTAATTTGATCTATTTGATTTTTCAGTTCGATTTGATTTTTTTTTAAAAATTTTGATTGATCAGTTCAATTCAATCTAAAAATTCTTAAATCAAATAAATTGAATCAATTGAATTATACATAATAAATTCTTATCTAGATGAACAAGAAATATCTACCATTTGTAGTAGTAGTAGTAGTTTTTTTGTTTAATGTGATGTTTTAATTTTTTTATTTCTATAATTTAATTTTTAATGCAATAATACTGAGTCTTATTAATTTTCTCATAAATTATAGTATAAGATTGTTATTTTTTTTTGTTGGGCCTTCAACATCAAGGAAAAAAATTAGATAGAAGAGTTTATGAAAATCAGACTCTATAGACCCAAATCAAAGCCCATAAATCAAATAGATTGATTGAATCAAACTATTATAATTCAATTTAATTATGTATTTTGATTCGATTCAATTTTTTTTATATAATTCAGTTGATTGGTTTTATAGAAAGTGAAACCAAACCGACTGAATGTTCACCCCTACCCAAAATGTTATGAAGATGTAAACCCTCAAGCATGTCGATGAGCTATGTCTTGATAATCAACAAGAAGCCAAGTTTCTTAGCAGAGTTGCATCTTTATTTGTCTTCACGATCTCTAGTGAGTAGCATGTCCAATGCTATTGATTAAGTCATCTAAGTCAAAGGCTTGCTTAATCAAAATCTAGTCGTGTTCAACGCAATTTTCTTTGTTCCTTTGATCTATCTTTCCTCTCAAACTCAAGTTTTATGTCTCTGGAAACAATTTGAGCAAACAGAAAAGCCACGGCAGCATCCATAAGTTCATTTGAGGGGAAAAAATCGTATTTAATAAACACTTTGCTTTTGTTATGATTTGATAATTTTTGCATCATTTTTGAGAGTTTATAGATAAAATTGCACTACATTTAAGTTAAGAATTGCACTATATTTAAGTTAAGAATGCTAGTAATTCCTCGCAGAATTCTCTATGAATAGATTTACATCTTAACCCTTTACAATCTGTCTTTCAAGATTTATAACTGTGCGATGTCGCGAGCCAAGAACCTCAAACCTTGTGTTTCATCTTGTAAATCAGGAAGACCTTGATTATTTTGGAGGACCTATATGTCACTTACTCAAATGTAAAGCCCAAATCCAATACAGATTTTTTCTTTTAATTTTTTTAAAAATCTTTTTGCCTTTTTATTTTTGTCCGATGAACCCTGCTTAATCCTCCATTCCTCCCGGAACCGCGAATTCACTCTCGCAGGCAATCGCCGTCGCACAATCCACCACCCGCCTAAGCCGTCGGCCGTCCGCCGTCCACTCTCCATCCGGGCCCTCCATACGGCCGCTTCTCTCTCAAATCGATGGTGTCTTCTATAGAAACTCTTCATGTCTGCTAGAACTTTCTTCAAAATAAATTCGCGGTGTTGGCTGAATCGACTCTTGTTTTTCTGCCATATAGGGAGCTTTTAATACGTATTTTAGAATTGTTGGTACTTTTACATGAACAAAACATCGGGTATCCCCCATTCTCCTTTACGAGTTTGAAACCGAGTTCCGTTCCATGGCAGCATGTTGTCCAAGTTGCTCCAAGTTCACACCAAGTTCTTTTCTTCCACACTCCTCTCTTGTTCCCTCTTTTTTCGGTGTCCCTTCTAGCTATGTGAGGTCTGTTAATGTCCGTTGTTTCTATAAGTGTCAAAGAGTTTGGCTTCGGTCAAGCCGTCGTTTTGTTCCTCTACTTGCTTCGTCGTGCAGCAATTTTGAGTCTGTGGAACTGCAAGAAGCCCAGAATGCTGTTTCAAAACTTCTTCGAGAATTCGGGGTGTCTGAGGAGGAATCTAATTCTATTGCATCTAATTCACCGAAGTATGTGAGGATGCTGGTTGATGAAGTACGGGATTTGGACGAACTTTCAATGTGGGAGACGCAAATTGGCGGGTTCCAGGAGAAAGTGGTTCACATTGCTAGGAAGAAAGGTGATAATGGCAAAGTTGTATACTTGGAGAGTCTGGGTTTGAGCCTCTCTTCAGCTATGAACGTGGCCAGATATCTGTCAGGAGAAACACTTGTAGCACTCATCCATAAGGTAAGCCACTTTTAGTCTGTCAACCAAAGTTTTCAACTTTAGTCTCTTCAACGAACCTTGCTTGGCTGCTTGTATTATCTGAATACTGTAATTTATTGTTTCTTTGATTTCTTGTATTGAGCTGATAACACTATCAATTTTGACTTGTTGGTACATTCAGCATTTTTTAATATGTCAGACCTAATTGTTGCTGTTTATAGGTTAAGTGTATGAAGGAACTGTTCTTTTCTGGCAGTGAAAGTTATGAGTTCCCGGTCAGAAGAGTTCGCAATATGATGATGCAGTTATCTATTCCTATTGATGAAGATCTGCAGCAGACTTTGTCCTTTTTTGAAAAGGTTGAATACATGTTTGTCTTTCAACAATACTCTGCTGTGTTTTGCTCTTCAAACTTATTTATTTTCATAATCCCCGTTTTATCTGTTCTGTATTAATTTTCTGTTTAAATGTTATTTTTTAATATGTTGTTTCCTAAAAATACTTCAGCTAAATTTTTTTGTTTCTTGCTGTAGGTTGAAGCAAGGCGTGGAGGTTTGACCATGTTGAATTCCAGTGATGCTGCTTTTGATTTTTTAATTGAATCATTTCCCCGTCTACTTTTGTTATCAGTAAAATCTCACATGAAACCGTTAGTGGAATTTCTTGAGAGTGTTGGAATCCAAAGAGATCTCATGAGAAATATACTGTTGACTTTTCCTCCCTCTTTGCTGTGGAATATTGAAGTATTTAAAAGTCGAATACTAGCCTTGAATGAGGTATATGAATTTTATTTTGGATTTTTGCGTTTGTTTGCAATACTCAAAATCTTGGTAATTTTTAATAATTTTTAAAAATGAATTTTTATTTTATTTTACTTTTTTGGGAATTATCATTTTTTTTTCTGGTGTATTTTCTGAAATGAACTTGCTGCATTCTCAGTTTCTTCTTCATTGTCTTTAAATTTGGACCTGCTTGTTCTTTATATGGAACTTTGATGTTTTGTCTTTGTCATGCAAGTAATTAATCAATCAAATTTGTCATTCTGACAATCAATTAATTCCATCCCCACGCAACATTCTTTGCAATTCTGCACTCTATAATGCTTAAAGTTGCTAAGGCAATGACTTGTGCATGAAAAATGCTTTTCTTTTTTACTGGCATGTGTCCTGTTGAACTGAGAATCTAAACCTACACATAATCCTAATTCTTAATGTCATTACCTATCTGTGATTGAGAGTTGATTAGCTTGTTTATTTTGTAGATTGGTGGTGTAAATAACAATCATGTTAAGTTGCTGATAAAATATCCATGGATATTATCAAAAAGCATTCAAGACAACTATAAGGAAATCCTCTCTTTGTTTGATTCGGAGAAGGTATGGTTTTTCTTTTCTTGTCTCAATTTGTATGCTTATGTGCCTACGTCATGTCATACACATGACTATAAGATGCGTTTAAAACAAAGAAAGCAGATCAATTTTGGTGGTGGTTCTGCTAGAAAAGTTATTTCTTGCCTAATTACTGGTTCTAAAGTGAGTTAGTGGTCTTAATTTCTTATTAAAAAAAAAGAGCAAGCTAGAAGTTGTATATTTAATGAGTTCTGTATCATCAAGGTAAAAGACCTGTGTTGCTGCCCTGTTATTTATTACTCAAGGAACATTTTGCTGTTTCTCCTCCATATACCTGTATAAAATATAGTAAATGAGTGGAGTTGAGGCTTTAAACGAGTGGGAATAACCAGTGTCATTGTAATGCTATTTTGAAATGTAAAATCAAATATTAGTTTTGACTCATAATTATGCATGAATTCGGTCTTATAGAACAAACATTTGCAACCAATTCTGAAAACTTGCTAGTAGCAGCTTTTAGTGCCCCATGATGTTTCATTCTCTATAATCATCTCATTCTCAACTTAGTGCAATTGTATAATCAATGAAATAGTGATTAACTGTTCAATCATCCACCAATCTCTGATCTTATTATATATTAATTCTTTGAATTCTATGAGCCACAGTGATGGTCAAAACTATTGCAAATTCAGGGGCAAGTGCAATAATTTATGGAAATACTGGGATATTAACAGAATGCTTCATCATAGGTTCCCAAGGCATTTGTTGATCATGCAATCAAAAGCTGGCCCCATATCCTGGGCTGTTCATCTAGCAAGCTAAAGCTGATGGTTGATCAGTTTGGTGAGATAGGAGTTCAACAGAAGAAGTTAGGTCAAGTTATTGCTAAAAGTCCTCAGCTACTGTTGCAGAAGCCACAAGACTTTCTCCAGGTAGTGCTTGTTTTCATCATAATGTATCATCTACTTGTCATACTTCCACATCCATTGCTAGTTAAAATAGCTTTATGCATTTTTCATATTTTGTAACATTGAAATGCTTATTTGTGTTCATATAAATTCTGATTTTCTAATTTCTAGTATACTGTACACATTTTTTGGCCCTGCATTGTGTTTAATTTTTGGGTATCCTTGTGGAAATTAGTTTGCACATGCACTTAAATATCCATCAAAAGGCTACTGAGATATTTTAGGTTTCTAATGTGAACCCTTATGTGGTAAGAAGTGATGAGAAAGCATCAGTATCTGTTATATCATTAAGTTCTTTCATAAGAGCATCTTTTTCTTGTTCTAAATTTATTTCTTTGGAAGATATACCTGTTCGGCTATTCCTTAAAGACTCGATTCAGAGTAGAACTTTTTTGCTTTATTGTTCTTGCTCAGGATCATTTACCTCCTGTTCATTATGAAATACAGAGTTTTTGGTTGAAAGTTTCAGATAATCAGTTTTGATCTCCTTGCTTCTTCAATACATTCAGGGTCTTGGCGACATATTAGCAAATTTTAAACCACATTGAAAAGTATGAACTAATGTGTTTTCATTATGGAATCTCTTAAAAATAATTTCAGCTGATCATATATGTGTTGGTCAACCTTAAAACTAGTGTCTTACCTGTTAAGGTGATGTACTGAATTGGCATTCAACACCCATCCTGCATTCTGAATAAAGAACATGTCTTGATCCCTCAGTTTCTTGGCTTTAAACCAGTTCAACTCCTCTATTTAATTAACTGTTATGGGTCTACTCCATATACCAGAAAAAAATTGGGGATGTGTTGGAATTGGAACTGCCAATCGTTATGTTTAGATAATCTGAGTTTGAGTGTTGTGTTTTTCTTAGGTTCAGCTTCCTTCTAGTTCAACTATAGTATGGAAATCCAGGTCAAACCGCCTAGTTGAACTGGTAAACTGTTAAACCAGTGTCTTGATTTGGTTAATAAATGTTTTGTTTATGACTAGTTTGATTATAGTTTGGTTATGATTTCGACCATTAACCCTTGAACCAAATCCCCTGATTGGTTCAATAATCAGTTCGATGTTCAGTACTTTGGTTCAACGCCATGCAACCTTTTTAGCACTTGATTGTTGAATTTCTCTTGCCTTATCTTTTAGTAGTGAGTTCTTGCTTTGCCAGTAGCAAAGTTCTTGATGCCATCACTGATACTTGAGTTTGTCTTTTGAGCCGTATAGAAGTTTGTATCACTCTTATTGCTATGTCGTTATTATTTAGTTGTGGAATAAGCTCCTTGTTCATTGTTGTTTATAGGTTGTTCTGTTCTTTGAAAATATGGGGTTTGATAGACAAACAATTGGGAAAATACTGGTTCGCTGCCCTGAAATCTTTGCTGCTTGCCCTGCCAAGACTCTCAAGAGAAAGATTGAGTTCCTCCATAGTATTGGTGTTTCTGAAGTTCACCTTCCTCGGGTCATAAAAAAGTATCCAGAACTTCTTGTGTCCGATCCAGACAGAACCATGCTACCTAGGTATTATTCTGAGTCATGCTAGAATCAAGTTGACTTTTTGATACATAAACTTTATCTGCTGGATTTCTGTTCGTATGATACTATGGTTGTGGTTGAATGAGACCTCTTAGTTAACAGTATTACTAAAGGCTTGGTTGATTTAGCTAATTTCACCTAGTGGGATAAGACTTGTCTTTGTTGTTGTATGATATGATGGTTGCGTTTACATTCAACTAATCAATGTTTTGCCAACAATCTAGGTGCCTCTGGTCATCCTTCCCTTTGCAGTGGCTGTTTACTGTTTTAAACATTCTTAATCCTTTTGAATGTGCCTTAAATCTGACCTTATATCAATTGTTACTCTTGATTCTGGTTTCTTTTAGTTATCAAAAATAATATTTTGGCAAGATTCCCAATAAGCGTGCCTTGCTCAGATGCAAGAACCTGATTTGTCTGATCCTTAAAGATGAGAAGTTCAAATAAAAAAAAAAAAATGGGGCTGTAAGATCCTGTTTGATGCATAAAATGAAATGGCAAATAAAATGACAAAATAATGTTGATGATAGGAAATGACCTTCATGCCCATTCTCTAGGATGCAACAACAAGTCTTACCTCACTAAACAGGTTGGCTATATGGATTACACGATGTCATTGTACTCTATCAATAACTAAGCTTTTGAAAATATCGTTAACCAAGAGGTTTTGTTCGACCTCATACCCTAGGATAATCAATGCTAAAAACAATAAAGGAAAGGGAAATTCTCTCTGATTTGATCTGTGATCTTATAGCGCCATTTTTGCAGGTTGGTGTACTTGATGAAGTTAGGACTATCTGAAAGAGACATTGCATTGATGGTACGATCATTTTCTCCTCTGCTTGGATACAGCATTGAGGAGGTTCTGAGACCCAAAGCAGAATTTCTGGTGAACACAATGGAGAGGCCAGTGAAGGACGTGGTGGGATACCCCAGGTATTTTAGCTATTCTTTAGAGAAGAAGATAAAGCCAAGATTTTGGGTGCTTAAGGGAAGAAACATTGAGTGTAGTTTGAAGGATATGCTAGCAAAAAATGACGAAGAATTTGCTGCTGAATATATGAATCTCCCATCTCCTCATTCTTGAATTCAGCATGGACTTGTGTCTTGCTAGGCTGTAAATATTATATACCCTTGGTTTCCAAGTGTATATTTATTTTCATAGGTTTAAAGAGAGCTCAAAAGTTAGGAGAAGATTATTTTTTTGGGAGAATATCAATGAAGGACCGTTGAATTTTTTTAAAAGGACACTAGTTAGATGTAATGCTTGTTGTAACAATAACTTCACTTCTTCAACGGTCCTTCATTGATATTCTCCTTTTTTTTTTTTTACTAAATTACAAAAATCTGCAAAACGGTGAGCCACCCTTGGTAAAATACTTGCACAATTTTTGCAAGATGCATTGCCATAAGATAGACATGTTTTATTGTTTTGGTCTTGTGTGTCCACAGTTTATTTATTCATTCATTTATTTTACTTTATAACAATTTTGTAGTGGATCTTTTTAATACATAAAATTCAAATTGAAATTCCCAAGAAATCATAAGAAGGCTGTTGATTGGATAGCATGTTCAGTGACAATGGGGATGTGCTTTCCGGATTGGGTTCTCAAGCTGCCATCTCTGCTTGTTTCTCTCCTAGATCGAAACGTCCCTGCGTCGAGGATGACTTTTTGTGTTTCTGGATAGTTTTTTGTCTCTGTTGTTGCCTTTGCTTGGCTTTTGTTTTGCTCTAGCTGCTGATTTGAACTCTTTAGTTCTTTCGTTGTCTCAATGAGTGTTTCTGTTGGCCAAAAAAAAAAAAAATCAAATTGAAATTCATTTTGATTGCTCATAGTTATCATTTTATTGAAGGTAAATCGAGGAACAATCATACATTAAATATCGGCATCTTTCGATGAGGATTTAGACGTTGGTTTGTTACATTGTGAAAGAATAATTTCTTCCAATGGGCGCAATCCCTGTTGAATTGAAATTCTTATCTTTTAAATAATGCAGTTGGTAGATGTACTTGAGAGTGATTAGTTGAGTCATTTCAGAAGATGAGATTAATGGTTTGTATAATAAGTTCACTAATCACTAGAGGATAACAAATTATGTACACACATAAATGTAAGTACAGTGAATTCTTTTTTTGATAACCCATGAACAGAGACCACTACATTGTGGATACGACATTCAACCCATTACCATTGTCCCTATTAATAATCCTAGCCAAAGCTGAAGGAACTTGGGAAACTTCATGAAGGCCAGTTATAGCTAATAAACCCATTTTTTCTAAATAATCTGATACATCCATTACTACAATAAAGAATTTATACACAAGTTGAAATTGACATTTTGTACGACATTCAACACATTACCATTGTCCCTCTTAATGAAACTGAGGAAACTTGATAGACTACATGAAGGCCGAGCATAGCTAATAAACCCATTTTTGCTAAATAATCTAGTACGTGCACTATTACAATAAAAATTTGAGTAAAAGTGTATTTTTGCTTTTAAAGTATTTTTCAAAAAACATTCAGCACTCTAATATTTTTGTTGAAATAATTTTATCTTTAAAGTTATTAAAATGAAACATTTTTATCTTTTCCATCAAATTTTCTAACATTTAATGTTTAAGGTCAATGTTGAAATTTTAATAGAAAGGGTAAAAATGTTTTGTTTTAATTATTTTAAGGACAAAATTGCTCTAACATTAGAATGCTGGTTGCTCTTCAAAAAATATTTTAAGGGTAAAAATACAACTTAACCTTGAAAACTTTCTACACAAGTTAAAATTGTCATTTTGTATTGGTTCTGCATGACACATACTCCAGTTGAACTTCCCGATTCCTTATAACATTGTGATCGTCATGAGCTGGGTTTGTTCCTGATCTAGTAATTTCTAAAGCTTTAGTGGAGTCCAATTCCAAAATTAACCTCCCAATACCAGCATCCCAAGCCGTCTTTGCCCATGCATCTAAGCCATAACACTCGCAGGATGGAGGCAACAAAATTGTTATTCAAGTGTTTTAGTTTTCTTTTTTGAGCCTCCTTAATATTGTCAACCATGGGAACACAGTTAACATCTAGAAAGATAAATGAATAAATTATTCTCCAAACATGGGGTCTAGTAGCATTGTAGATTATGAATTCATTTGTTGTATAAATTGCTTTTTCAACTTTTAAAAATTGTGTAATCTAGCATTTGTCATTAATAAAAGTTAATTTTCATAATTAATTGACTAGAAAATGATAGAAGAGAACATTTTTAAGATTATAGAAAAGGACTAATTTTTTTGATCATTGTCTTTAATTTTGGGATCTTCTATTATATTTTTTTTGATATTTTCTGTAATTTTTGATATTATTTTTTAGTTAACTAATAGTTAAAATTAATTTTTATTAATGATAAGAATTAGATTATGTCATTTTTAAAAGTTGCAGGAACAATTTAAACAATAAATAAGTTCAGAGTTTATAGTACTATTGAACTTAAAATTTAAAGAATAATTTGCTCATTTATCCCAATCAAAATACCATTTCACCAAAAACCAAAATGTCAACCAAGACCTTAAGGGTTATTCAATAATTATCATATTTCGTAGTATTTATTTGTTATTGACTATCTCTCTCTGTTTTTTTTTTTTTCCAGCTATGTCTCTTTGACTATTCCAAGTGCAAAAATTGGGGATGTAAGTGAACATACTAATTTTAAAATGGTTTTTGGAATTAATATCTTCTGTCTATCTTTCATCCATTAATATTATGGTTTATTAGCTGTTAAAAAAAAGTATTGCGGAATACCATTCAAAGAATCAAAAGATGAAACAAGTTCAAATAGTAAAAACCAATAATCAGATAGAATATTGCAAAGAGCTAATTAGCAACTAAGAAAACCATTTTATTCCAATTGCAAAATGAACCCAGCCGGGTCGTCGAGATCAAGCAATCGAACGAACTAAAGAATGAAACGCATAGACAAATTTTTGCCGAATTAATGTTTCATCTGGTCGTTAGAAAATTTAAGAATAAAATAGATTAAAAAAATTAAAATAAAATTGAAGTAAATCACCCATTTCTTTCATCATAAATATAGTAAACTTTAATCATATATGCTATAAATGTAAAAATAATTATATCTTCTAAAAATCTCATAAGTCATGATTTTCAATTTCATAAAATAAATGACTTTTTTTTATTATGAATATGGTTCATCTATTTCCTTTCACATTTTGATAATTTTATTTTTGCTTTCATTTTCTTTAATAAATTTCATTCCATTCTTTTTAACAATTAAATGGGATTTAAAGTTTACTCCAATGTGTCAAATGACTGCTAGTATAAAATTAGGTTTGGTGAGAATTTAAATGGTATTTCAGTAACACCTAATCCTCTTGTTTGAGGCAAGGTTTTCTTTTGTGAGAATGACATTTAGGTTATTAACAGCTTTTTTTTAAATAAATTAAAAATATCAATTCAAGTAATTGTAATTTTAAAAATTTTAATTATAAATAAGTATTTAAATATTAAATATAATTTTTAAATTATAACATGAATTTTTGACTGTAATAATTTAGATTGATATTTTTCATTCAATTATTAGAAAATTTTATCAAAAAACTTAAACTGTGATTAATTTAAATTTTTGGTACCTACTTGTCATTTTCCTTTTTCTTTTCCCTATTGGTCGCCTTCGTCTTCCTAACACGGTCGACACCTTCCAGAGCCTCTCGCTATCACTATAGTATCCTTAGTGCCTTGGCTTCACAAAACCCACCAAAAACCCTTACCCTTAGCCTGCCGCGGCGAACCCATCGGATTTTCCCATGTCCGCCTTCTCCGCTTCCGCTACACTCCCCGCCCCTCTCCCTCACCGCCGCAACAACAATTTCCCTCGACCCTCCTCCATTAAATGCCATCTCTCTTCTTCCAACAATTCTGATTCCTCCGATCACGCCCTCTTCAAAACCCTCTCCAAAACCCTCGCTCTCTCTTCCGCCGCCGCCCTCGTCATTAACTCCACTCACCTCCCGGCCCTCCTCTCCAATGGATCCGGAAATTTTGGCAGCGGCGGTGGTAATGGACTTGGTGGTGGCGGCGGCGGTGGCGGAGGGAGCTGGTTCGGTGGCACCGGCGGAGATGGGAATGGAGGGTTCTTTTCTAGACTTTTCTCCCCGGCAGATGCTGTAGCTGATGAATCTCCTTCTCAGGAGTGGGATTCCCATGGCCTGCCGGCCAACATTGTTGTTCAGCTCAATAAGCTCAGTGGATTTAAAAAATATAAAATTTCAGAGATTCTGTTCTTCGATCGTAGGAGATGGAAAACAGTGGGCACAGAAGATTCCTTCTTTGAGATGGTTTCTCTACGCCCCGGTGGTGTATACACCAAGGCCCAGCTTCAGAAGGAGCTTGAGACTCTAGCTACCTGCGGAATGTTCGAGAAGGTAGATATGGAAGGCAAAACCAATCCCGATGGAACAATCGGAATTACAATATCTTTCACTGAGAGTACCTGGCAGTCAGCCGATAGGTTTCGCTGCATCAATGTGGGTTTAATGCCGCAGACTAAGCCCATTGAGATGGACACGGATATGACTGATAAGGAGAAGCTGGAGTACTTTAGAAGTCAAGAGGAGGACTACAAGAGGAGAATTCAGAGGGCAAGGGCATGTCTTCTGCCAATGCCTGTGCACATGGAGATTATGCAGATGCTGAAGGAGCAAGGAAAGGTGAGTGCCAGGTTGTTGCAGAAGATAAGGGACCGAGTCCAGAAATGGTATCAGGATGAAGGCTATGCATGTGCACAGGTGGTTAATTTCGGGAACCTGAACACCAAGGAGGTTGTCTGTGAGGTTGTAGAAGGGGATATCACCCAATTGGTCATTCAATTCCAGGATAAGCTTGGCAATGTTGTTGAAGGTAACACTGATGTTGCGGTAGTCGAAAGAGAACTGCCGAAACAGGTACATATGGTTATGTTGCATCGCAAGTTATTCAGTTTGTCTTTTTCATTTGTTTTGAGTTTTGATAATTGATACAGACTGCCACTAGAAACTGATGCTTCTGGTAATCACATTATGGCATTTTTTTCTTGTGTCAAATTTCTAGCTGGTGGTTGAGTTATTGACTTTTGCACTTGTTTTTGGTCTTTATATTGTTCATCAGTTGTTGATTACTTAGTGGATATTTGTATGGATTACAGCTTCGCCCAGGTTACATTTTCAACATTGAAGCTGGGAAGCAAGCTTTAAGAAACATTAACTCTCTTGCTCTGTTTTCAAACATCGAGGTGAATCCACGGCCTGATGAGAAGAATGAAGGAGGAATTATTGTTGAAATTAAGCTTAAAGAATTAGAACAGAAGACAGCAGAAGTCAGTACTGAGTGGAGTATTGTTCCCGGACGAGGAGGACGTCCCACACTGGTATTCATGTCAAATTAAAAATTTATTTTGTCATAAACCATCTATTTTTGTTTGTTAGTTGATTTAATGTATTTATATTCACTGTCTCTGTAGGCTTCATTGCAGCCAGGCGGAACTGTTACTTTTGAACATCGGAATTTGCAAGGATTAAATAGATCTCTTATTGGTTCGGTGACAACTAGCAATTTCTTCAATCCTCAGGTTGCCGTTCACTATTCTATTGACTATGTCATTTTATTCTTGGAATAGTTTGTTATGCCACCAATGTAAGTATTAATATCAACTATCATAAATTGGCCTTCATGTTTTTCCCTTAGGATGATCTGGCATTTAAACTTGAGTATGTACATCCGTATTTGGATGGTGTATACAATCCAAACAACCGTACCCTTCGTGTGAGCTGCTTCAACAGTCGAAAGCTAAGTCCAGTATTCACTGGAGGGCCAGGGGTTGATGAAGTACCCCCAATATGGGTTGATCGTGCTGGCGTCAAAGCCAATATCACTGAGGTAATCTTACTGATGGTTCAGGCAATTGGTAGTTTTAAAATTTCCCTTTCCTTTTATTCTGGGTTCTTTATTCCTGATTTTTTTATCTTGTGTGCAAAACAGAATTTCACACGCCAGAGTAAATTTACTTATGGACTTGTGATGGAAGAGATAACAACACGTGATGAAAGTAGTCATATCTGTGCGTATGGTCAGCGTGTATTGCCTAGTGGAGGAATAAGTGCTGATGGACCTCCAACCACCCTCAGTGGCACTGGCATTGATCGGATGGCGTTTTTACAGGCCAATATTACACGTGATAACACAAAGTTTGTGAATGGCACTATCATTGGAGACCGAAATGTGTTCCAGGTGACTGTACATATGCTTTTCATGTCATCTACATGGGCTCACTACACTTCATCAGTTTTTCGGTCATATTAAAAGGCGCAGAAAAAAAGAATTCTTGTTCTGTAAAAGAACCCTTTTTGAATGACCAGCATTTTGTTTTGCTAAGAATTTGAATTTGCTATTTATTAATTTTAGTAGGAGAGGAAGGAAATTCCCATACCCAATTAGATCAAATGCTGTGAGATAGAAGGGCATATAAAAATTATGGCAACAAAGTAAGATTTTTTTGGGGTGCGCTAGGTTCCAGGAGAGTTGTACATGTACTCATTTATAATGGAAGACGCAGCAGGTCCATTCCAGGAACCAAAACGATGATAGGGAGTATTTCATACGTTGCTAAATTTTAAAAAAGATATTAATAACTGGAAAGGTGGGACAAATTGATGTCTTGAACTTGATGCCATTGTTGGAGTATGCAGGGGTTATCTTCTGGAGATGGAAGTTTTTTCTTACTTCTTTAAATGTTCTTTGACGTCAGCACTCTGATAGAATTTTGAAATGATGACTGACTCGCACCTAATAGTAAATGCTGTAGTGAATGTTGTGCCTGGTAATGTTGGTCAAATTAAGTGGAAGCACTGGTCATCTTGCAGTTAAAATGAGAACAAGAAACTGGTGTTTCCTGATTTTGTAGTCTTGAGGCTGCCATGCTTGAGGTATCTGCTGACAAAGTTAATTTCTATGTAAATGTTAGGTGGATCAAGGCCTTGGGGTTGGCAGCAATTTCCCATTCTTTAATCGTCACCAGCTAACCGTGACAAGATTCATGCAGTTGATGTCAGTGGAGGAAGGTGCCGGCAAAGCACCCCCGCCAGTCCTTGTTGTCCATGGTCATTATGGTGGTTGTGTAGGTGATCTTCCAAGTTACGATGCTTTTACTCTCGGAGGTCCCTATTCTGTGAGGGGTTACAACATGGGCGAGCTTGGCGCAGCCAGAAACATCCTTGAGGTAGGAGTGATTGGAATGTATCATGATTTTTTTTTTTTTTAAGCATCATGAAGATTGAGATTTCATAGTAGTTAATGTTCCAATCATTGAGAACAGAAATCTGATCTCTTTTTCAGCTTGCTGCCGAGTTACGGATACCCATCAAAGGCACGCAGGTCTATGCCTTTGCAGAACATGGAAATGATCTTGGAAGTTCGAAGAACGTGAAAGGGAATCCCACAGAAGTGTATAGGCGAATGGGACATGGATCGTCATATGGAGTTGGTCTTAAGCTTGGTTTAGTTAGAGCAGAATACGCAGTTGATCATAACTCAGGAACTGGTGCATTATTCTTCCGTTTTGGAGAGAGATTTTGAGGCGAAAATTAGTCAAATAGCATGACGCTGAATACAGTTTTTGTTCTTAGTTTGCGGAAGAACTTGTGCAACCAGCCTTTAATGATTGTTCAGAGGTCATCTTGCTGGTACTGAACCCTTTGTCCCCTTTTTTGGTTTTACCCTCAATTTTAGTGTAGAATTTTATGTGAAAATATTGTGACAGATTATATCTTGTTGGTGAGATATTTATTCACATGTATTTCTGCGTCTCAAATTAGTGCCCAATTTATAAACAATCAGCCAAACTTAGTGGCTTTGTTGGTGCCGGTTGTTGTGCGTGTGTTTGGGATCAATAATTGTGGAGTTATTGACCTTTCAAAGGCTTGTTCCAAGTATATGATTACTTATACAGCAAACTCAGTCATCAAAATTTATCCCAAAAATGAGACATTGCACAGGTAAAGCTGTAAGGGGACAAGTATACCTCATGGGTTACATTTTAGGGATAATATCAATAAAGGACTTTTGAAATAATTTAATATCTAATTAGAACTTGGACAGATCAGATACTTGTTATAAGTTCTTGTGAGATTAAATTTTTTTCAAGAGCCCTTCAATGATATTCTCCTTGCATTTTGCTTGCGTCCTAGGGAATGTGGGGAATGGAGTGTATAGCTTTGTTTTTATCAAATAATAATATTCTTTATTTTCCGATAATGATTAAATACTTTAAGAAACTTGAAGGGGCTCATTTGAGTTGTTAACTGGCGTTTAGAAGAATCTTCAAATGTTAGACACTTCTCTACAACATTGGAGGCAAACTTCTGTTGACTCATTTGAACAACTAGAAGATATAACATGAGAATACAAGCATGGACACATCTCAGTCTACCAATAACAGTTGATTTAACTGATTTCAGGTTTTGTTTGGTTCAAGTGATATAGGGCTTGTTTCTTTTAAACAAAGTCTTTAAATTTGAGAATTCTGAATAGAAAATATTGTTGTTGAGGAATCTTTACACTTATGGTGTGTTTGGATTAGTGAAGATTTGGATTTGGTCAAAATCTTTTATTTAGATTTGCAAAAATTTATAAATTTGTATTTGATTCACATTCAAATTTATTTTTTTATTATAATTTCTTTGTAATTATCATTTTAAATTTCAACTTATCTATCTTTTTGGTTTAAAATTTTTTAAAATTATCCAAACAAAAAATTTTAAATGTAATATTTTAAATATAAAATTTAAATTTAAATCTATCAATTCAAAAATTAAATTATATTGAGTTTGAATACACATGATTTTGGATTTGAGTTAAATTCATTATTTGGGTAATTAAAATGTATGGATTTGAATTTGACCCAAATGCAAATTCAAATTTTACCTTAATTTTTTTGTAATTTAAAATCTTTTCTAAGCTCCTATTATTTTAAATCCTAACTCAATCTCTTTTGTAATTTGATCTAAATTCACAAAGGTTTGACCAGCCTGCCAACAGTAATTGGATCGGATTGTTGAAGTTGACAGAACCATCATGTCATTATTGATTGGGACCAACTCATTGTTGCCCATTGGGATTGCATTGTCGGCACCAATTGGGACCAAATAGATGACTTTCATTGGGATCGAATCACTCACGCTGGTAGGGATCAGAGTACAGGTGACAATTCGGACCAGATGGTCAACCTCCACCGAGATTGAATCATCGGCACTGACCCACATCGGACAACCGACCTCCACGAGGGTTAGACCATCGCCGATGACCCAGATAGGCCCTTGACTTCCACCGGGTTGACTTCCATTAAGATTACACCCCAACAATGAAAGGATTGGACAATCAACTTCCATCGGGATTAAATGGCCGACTTTTACGTGGACCAAATCGACAGTGATGACTGAGACCAAACGGTTGACTTTAACCCTGACCAAACTGATGAGGATTGGAGGCTGACTTCCACTAGGACTAGATCAATTACAATGACCAACATCAGACTACCAACTTTCACAGGATCAAACTGATGGTGATGACCTATATTGGATGGCCAACTTCCACTGAAATTGGACTGATGGCAATGATTGTGATCAGACAACCAACTTTCATTAGGACCGGGTGGCCTATGTCGATCGGGATCAAGCGACCTCTTGCGATCAAGATTGGACCGTAGATGTTGATTGTGATCAGATCATCAACTGTCTGATCTCGGTCGAAGTCATAGTTCGATCCCAGTCAAAGTCGTTGCCCAGTCATGATGGGAGCCTATTATTCACAATCCCGGTCGGCAACGGTGATTCGGTCCTCATTGCCTCTCGGTTGAAGTCAATCATCCTATCCCAGTCATCGCCATTTGTCTGGTCTCAATAGAAGTCAGCTATTCAGTCTTGGTTGTCGCTATCGGTTCGATCCTGGTGGAAGTTGGCTATCTAATTCCATCATTGTCGTTGATCCATTCTCAATAGAAGTCGATCGTCTGGTCCTTGTCGTTGCTGTTGATAAGGTCCTAGTGGAAGTCGGCCGTCTGGTCCCTATTGTTGTCGGTGCTATAGTCTCAATTGGAGTTTATAGTCTGATCTTGGTGAAAATTGGTCATTCGAATTGTCGATTTTGACTAAGAACGAATTACCAATATGGTCCAATTTTTTTTTAAATTTAAATATAGAATTTAAAATTTAAAATTTTACTTTAAATTTAAAGAAATGATTTTAATATTATAATTTAAAATTTAAAATTTTTTATATAATCTAAGCAAAGAATTTAGAATATATGAATTTTAAATATGAGATTTTAAATTTAAATTTTTAACTTTAATCCACCCATCTAAATACAAACTTATATGATTCAACTTGCCTTGATCTGGAATCATTGGAGCCCAATATGGTTTTTAGAAACTGGTTGGTGTTACCAATGAAAATAAATACATGTTGACTAAAATAAAGAAAAAAACAAATAAATATGCGAACATTTTTTGTGATCATAACAAAAGTATTATAGCACCACACTCCCAAAAAAAAAAATCCTAACCAAGTACAAGAATTTTTCTCTCTCATCAAATGTCCATCAAACTTGTATTGGTGATTTCTAATATCAGACCAAAAATCTACTGAATGAACAAAATTCAAACTATAAGTTGGGGATGATTTTATTTATTTCATGAAGGTCAAGTCTTTCTTTTTTTCCTTGACCTGTTGAAAGCAAAGTCTTTGCCATCAGCTCCACATGAACAAAGTGTATTAGAATAAGAAATGAATCTCAACCTCGTACCATATTCATGTTGACAAATTATTTCAAGTTTTCTTTCTCTTTCACCAATCAAATCATACCTATACACATGGGTTTTTGTAGCAAACACAAGAGAATCTCCATTCATTATTGTAAATCCACGAATACTTGAATCATTCTCAAGCTCCAATCCTTCCAAACTCAGAGTCAAAAACTTTGACCAAGAAGACGATTCATAATTAGTCAAAACCCACAAAGTAAATATGACATTAACTTGGTCCAAACTCACCAAACAAATGTCATCAATATTCAATCTTCCAATTTTGTCCCACTTGAAAATACCAATCTCATCAAGCTTATTACTTTTTGTAACTTCTTTAGGAAAAAGAATCCTTCTTGTCTCACCACTTTCAAAATTGTATGATAACATATAACTTGTCATCACTAAACTATTATAAAACACCATCTTCTTATGTCCAAAAAATGAGCCCTTTTGATCTCTTTCTTTCCACACACCTTCTTTTGGCATGTAAGCTTTACAAACAAAATACTCCGATGCTTTGTCTCTTTTATATTCCAAAAGAATTAATCGATATACCTCATCATTATCACTGCTATGAGGGTTGCATTCAAAGGCAAATGCGAATGTATGAAGATTAATTCCAAGCAAACTTGGTGGTATAGCAATGGAGGAGCATGTTTGTGTGGTTGGATTACAAATAAATAATCCTACTTTTGGAGTTGTATGTCTTATGATTGCACATAGAAGCAATCCATTGCTAGAGAAAACGATTCTCACAGACTTATTGTTAAGAAATTGAAGAAATTTTGTAGGAATACCAGAGGATGATGATGATAATGCATGAAACTCAGTTTTGTAGTCGAAACTATTCGTCCATCTACTGAATGCTTGAATGAAAATGGAAGAATCATCTTGTAGGGTCAAGTTTTGAGTTTGCTTCACTGTGAAACTTGGCTCCTTTGTGAATTCAAGAATTGATTTAGAACATGACTTGAACTTGAAGATGGATTTTGCAGGCAACCATGAGAATATTTCATATATCAGATCTTCAGGTAGCTCCATAGTTTTGATGAGCTGTAAAAATATTGAAGTTTTCTAAAAATAATTATAACAAAATGAGAACTTTGTTTGGCATATATTTGTGACACTGAAACTCAGATATATTATGCTATAATCTAAGTAGTTCAGATATGAGAACAAACATAGATATGATTTAAGGAAGAATTTACATACTTATTCTTATTAAGGTAGCTGTTTTCAATTAAATCATGACATGTATATCTTTTATATATTATTTATTCCAGGATTAATTCTTGTTATTAGTATTATTAACACATTAGTTAGAATCCACTTGTTTTAACTTGATTAGATATGAAAGTATATTTAGTATATTTAATACAACAAGCCAAGAGTTAATACAAAAGTTTCTTAATAATCATCTGAACTGTGTTAAATTCATATAATAGCAAACTAAACACCATTCAAATATTCATAGGCATTTTCCAAAATATCAGGATTTAGATTAGAGTGATATTTTTTTAAAATAAATAAATAAATGGACGTGGAAGGACCTATGTTTTTTTTTTTGGGGGAATTAGAGGGCATCCCTGCTAAAGTTACAAGCAAGATTAAAAATGTAACCTTCCACTTATACTAGAGTAGATTTGGATTTGATAAATGAGCTAAGGATGATTACTCAATGAGTGTTTTAGTTATAGTTGTTGAATTTAATCAATATTTAAAAATTGTCAAGATAAATTTTTCTCTAAAAATTTAAAACAACACAATCAAACCAGTCTTTATTCATGTTGTCCTTCTGAAAATTTGACATTTGATATTTTTTAAATATTATATAACAAAATCTTTAACAACTGTTTGATTAAATCAATTCGTTGTATTGTGATGGAACTTGCATGTCACCCAGCTACAAAGTCATCAGGAACTGTTTTTGGCAGCAACTGAAGAAATAAGCAAAGGTTGAACAAAAGATACCTTGGACGTCGCCACGTGGCTCTTCTCACCGTCGGCCACCTCTTCTTCTTGCATTACTATCGCCGCCGTCATCTTTCTTGCCGTCAAGGCAATGCACCGAAGTGTGCGGAAATTATAATGAGAGAATTATTAAAAAGCACGAGAATG